CCCCAAAACCCCAAAACCCCAAAACCCCATCAATGATACATTTACAACAATTGAATAATGAATTATTAATTGATAAGTTTCAAAATTTATGATATTTATAATGATTCAGGATCATGATATATGTATCAATGGAAGGACAAAACATGGATAGCTAATTTTATCATTGAAGCAAGGAAGTAAGTTTATTGGTAAATCCAGATATGATGTATTTATATTAATCTCTTATCTTCCGCAATTTTGACCTTTTAAACTAGCCATATATCATCTTCCATCTATGATAGAGCTAAAGCAATAAGCTCTTCTCATAATAATGAATAGGTATTTTTCTTAAGAGTACTTTAAGAAGATTTAATTAGATCTTAAACTATAAGCTCATTAGATATCTCTGCCTGATTCCCGTTCACTCTGCTCAATATTTGTGACGGCTACTGCTAATCATTCTGGCCTATCACTATCTGGTTGTTTATCTTTTTGATAATATTTTTCTTAATCACCCTTACTGTTTTATCGTTTATCGGCTGCTACTAGTGCTGTTATTGTTAACCCTTTGCAATCATATCTTGATTGAAAAAATGCTATTACAGCTACTATTGCTATTGCAACTATGATAAGTCTAATTGGTTGGGTGACTATATCATGCTTGATCCATTAGATATCAATGCTTGGTAAGCATTAGTCTGTAGCGCTGTAGGATTAAAATGAGCTAATACATGATTACCACTACCATTATTAGTTGTTGCAGCCATTGCCGTGTTATTCTAAACGATTCTTTTATTTGATATCTTCATTTGCTTGGTCTTGAGAACAGATTACTATCTTGATTCCAAATTATTGTTATTTCCAATATTTACAGGATTAGTATTTATTAGATAAGGAGAACTGTCTTCTATATTTTATTGAGCTATATTAGAGTTATTTAGAGAGCTTTAAGGCCTTTTACCAAAGCTAATGTTCGGTCTGTTCTTATCTGGGGATTGCCTGATCAGATTAGTTGACTGGTTTAGATATGCTTAGTCAATGGCAGATATGTTTTATAATCTTCTTTTTATCTAGCTATTCCCGATGAAATTCCTTTAAGCAGAGGCTTGCTCACTTTGAAACCCTTAAGCATTCATGTTAGCAAACTGTATCTATTCCTCTCCAACTGACTTGTTATGATGATAATTATTCATTGAATTCTAATTTATCTGATAAGCTGAGTTTAAGTATTAATCATATTGCTTTTAATTGGCAGTCATGGAGTTTACCCTTCTATTAGGGTTATGAGCCTAAGATATGACTCTTGAAATCTAATTTTTGTTGTTGGCAAAGCTGTTTTTATTGGATTTCAGCTTTCGCATCTCTGTGAAAGGTCTATCGATTTAATTTGCTGGGGATTATCTGCGATTATCATTTAGATTCTGAGTCTTTATCATTTCGTCAGCCTTGTTACTCTAAACTATTATTACAGAGTTATTGACTTCAATAAAGTTATTGCTAGTATTTTTATTGTCAATAATATTCTATGTAGGTGATTGATTTTTATCTTATCTCAGTTGATTCACTAAACTGTTTAAGTTAAAAAATCTAATCTGATTCTTATTCAAGCTATACTTGCCTTTCTCACTTGCATTTCTATTATTATTTCCATTATTTAGTTGCTATTTCATTGATAAATCTTGATTTTACTGTTATTATTACTAATGCTATCTGATCTAATTGATATTATGAGGATATGCTTAAGCTTGTGACCTTGAATTTTAAGCAAAGGGCGACTAAAGATTCTTAAAATCTAATGGGTTATTAAGTAGAAATTAATTGTTCATTGAATTGTTAGCATTTTGCAAGTGATTCCTCTCCTCGAGTTTTGATTTTGACTGCTTCTTTAGTCTTTAGTACTCTCTTATGTCCCAAAAGCTATTATCGATACTGCCACTGTTATTATTTAACATTATTTTTTGAACTTCAGAGTCATAGTTATCAAGCCTAGTATTTGGACTCTAGTGTTGCTGTCTATAAATAGATCTTTATTGCTTTTACTAGCTATCTCTAGATTAATTTTGGTATTAGCTGTTTTCTTAGTTGATATTGATAAATGCTTGATTTGCGTTTGATTGTTGTTTGTTTTGCTTGATAGTTTCTATACTTGATACTACTCTTGAGAATGGTACATCAATAAAGTCCCTTAGAGCATTTTAATCTTTGTGATTCTGATTTTATCTATTTGGAGTTTGAGAGTCATTTGCTAGCAAGTTCTACTTACTCATAATCATGTCATTATTTATCTTACGAGCACTTAGCTTCTCCAACTCCTCAAGTAAACTGTCATATTCATCTGCATCATCCAGGTTTCTATGTTAGGCTCTGCTCTTTTCATGCTTTTGTTGTGTCAGCATTACCTATTCTGAAGGCATTTCCTTAATCTCTTTAGCTATCTTTTGAACCTGATTCACAAATTCTCTCTAATTATTGTTATCTTTGTTTATAGGGCTTAGTTTAATAGAATCCTCCTGGAAGCGCATCTTAGAGCTAAACATTAGAGATTATTTAGATTGGTCAATTGAGTTACCAAAGGTACGCATGACTTCATCTGGTCTTATATGTTGGTAATTGTAGTTCTTGCCTATTGCATTGGTAGTTTAATTTCTTTGATGAATCTCACAAAGCAACTTCTCCTTCTGAGTAAGGCTTAGACTAGGTTACTTTTTAATATGCCTCCTTTCTTCATTATAGTATTTGAGCTGATGAGCCTTTACCGGACTTTGAGATTTTGTATTAAACCTCTGATACTCATACTACTCTGTATTGTTATAATACATATGATCAGCAGTCTTAAAAATATTCTATGACTCATCTTGTCGACTCATGTCTCTGAGTATGTTACCATTTGGCCCATTTTTATTATGATTTGGAGCGTTACGCCTAGACTATTCCAAAGATGAAAACAGCTGTGGAATTGAATTCTCGCTATACATTATAGCTTTATTTACTGAAGCTGAATCACTTGCTGCTCTTTAGCTATCTCTGGATACGGAGCCCTTTGCCATCAAATGATCTTTGCGAGATTTGTAATGGTTTTCACGAATTTAATGATGTAGATTTTAATTCTGCCCAATTTTAGAATAGTTAGTCAAACTAAGAGTATTGTCGCTTAAAACATTTTGTAGTTAACGAGGAGACTGTCCAGTATTGTTGGCTCTAGCACCTATATTCTATAATTACAACTACGGAATGACAGGTTTTATTCTAATAACCTGATTGGCATTGAACATATGAGTTGACTACTGATTATTATCAGCTAGATCTTAACTGATTACTCCTTCGCCACTTGCATTTTAAACACCAAAAGTATCATTATCATTGAAATTCTTATCATTATTTACTGCAGCTGTTTAATTTTTCTTGATTTAAGCTTGTAAGTTTTGTAACAATGTTTTTGTTTCTGAGATGTCCTTGCACTCTTGTATCTATTCCAGCTACTACTGTATGAATCTTACAATCTGTGCATACTTATCTTACGAAACAGTGATTGAAGGTTATTATTTCTGATATCTTTGTATTTATTTTTCCATGTCAAGTTGTCTCAAGTCATATCGGATTCGCATTTCCTCTATTATATTTTTATGCTCGATTTACTGGGATTTCAGTTGCATTTCAACCTCTCTGAATTTCTTGTCTATCTCTAGATCTTTGGATTGTGCTTCGAAAATAAGTTCTTCCAGCTAGGACTGTTAAGCTGATTCGTCATTTTTGACAAGATTTGAGGAAGCTTTAAAATCTTATAGGTGTTAAATCAGTTCTTTTAGAAACATATTTTTATAGAGCAATTTTATATTATCTCAGATCATACAATTTCCAGTCCTTGCAATATCTAACTATTCTTGTGAACATGGGGTTTTGGGGTTTTGGGGTTTTGGGG